GGCTCTATCTGCCGGCGAGCCGACGCTGCCTCGGGACCAAGCCCCACATCCCTTTCAAGCTCGCGGGGGCTCGGCCCTCGCTTGTCCTTGAAAAGTCGTTTCAGTCATGACTTAAATCCCACCCTCCCCCACAAGCCCGGTTTGAGAGCAAGAGCAGTCATGTAACAGGTTTGGAGCCAGCCGCTGTTCCCATTGTCATCTGTCCATCTGCTTAGCAGCTGACTAAGAACCCAAGCCAGCTCTGCCTTGGGGTGCAGGTGCCTTACCAAAAGTGTTGGTGAGATGACAGTCTTCCCTTTGTCCACCTACCACCTTACTGTAACTTAGTGCCTAAGCGAAGCAATGTAGCTGCCTTAGCATTGAGCAACGCTGGAGGCATGCTCTCCTCTTAGCTGGCAGAGGTAGTTGTTTCAGGGCTGTTCCAAGACAGAATATGCACTTACAGAATATGGGCATGCAAGTGCTTTATGGCAGTGCTCCCATGTGCAACAGAGATAACAGAGATACCCTAAGCATGGATGAGGAACAAAATGCATTCAGTATGTTTGATGTTGTAAAGTAAATGCTGACAATTAGATGTTGCCTCAGCTGTAGGAGTCTGAGTTTTCCCAGCCCAATGAAGCTAAGCTGTTTCTCCCTGTGAAGCGTTATTGCTGTTTACCACAGTTTCATGCATAAAAACCAGCTGCAGGAAGCTGGAGTCCACACTGCGCAAAAAAAGAGCAGTTTCTGCTCCTTGCCACCAGACGCTGAAAATAAAGCCTCCGCACCATCCACAAATAAGCAGGCTCAACTCCCTAGCTGCTGCTACTCAGTTACTCGCTACAAGGAACATTTTTTCCTTCATCCAGCCTTTCAAAACTAAGGTATCTACCTTAGGCCAGGACCCACTATGCAAGAAAATGGCATTTGTGTCTTGATGCAAGTCTCATACATCTTCAGTGTAAGGAAGTTACCATATAAATTAGGATCAAGTTTCACTATCTGTATAATCAGTTTAAAGGGGTGTAGGTTGTAGCTGTGTTGGTCTAGAGACACAGGCAGACAAGGTTCTTTGGGTAAATCCGATATCTTTTATTAGACCAACTTAAATAGTTGGAGAACAATTTTTAAGCAAGTTTTCGGGTTCAAAAACCCTTCGTCAGGCTAAGGAAGTTTCAGCAGTTGGTATGTGCTCCTGGCTGGAATGAAAAGTCAAAAAGCCAGAGGCTGGGCTGGTATGCATATAAGACAGGCAGTCAGTAAAAATGTAGATTGAGGAGTCAATGGGTGAGAGACAGGCTGGGGTGGGGGGTGAAGAGAAGGGGGATGAATAGTGAAGTACCTGGGAAGTCAGCTGTCAGGCAGGTTATAATGCGTCATAAATCCAATATCTATATTTAGCCCATGCTTTTTAGTGTCCAGGAGGTTGATGAAGTGGAGTTCTGAAGCCTAGAGCAGCATGCAGCTGAAGCCAGCTTCCCACATGCTGCTGGGGATGGAAGGAGCCCAGCAGAAGTGGTGGCGGAGCCATGTGTCACTCAGGACTGACCGGTGCAGGCAGGGGGAAAGTGCAGCTGAGCCCCTGCTCCTCCACCTGGGCTCATCCTGTCCCAAGTGGTACACGGCTCTGTCACAGCTTCTACTGGCCAGTGCAGACGCAGCCGGGCTCCTCTCAACCACAGCAGCACGTGGGAAGCTGACTTCAGCTACATGCTGTCTTTCCTGGCTGGTGCAGACCTGGCCAGGTCCGTCTCAGCCGGAGCAGCATGCAGCTGAAGCCAGCTTCCCATGTGCTGCTGGGGACGGAGCAAGCCTGACTGGGTCAGCACTGGCCAGCAGAAGTGGTGGTGGAGCCTCCTCCCTTTAGAACCAGCTGGAACAGGTAGGGGGAAAGTTCTGGGGGAGCTGATGCCCCTGAAACCCCACTGCTGGGGCAAGATGTTAGAGGGGTCACAACCCCTTGCTACCTGGTAAGTTGTGCAGGGGAAGGGACTTCCAATGGCAAAGGTCAGGGTTCAGGATGTCTGGTCCCAAGATGGCGACCAGGGGCTGGGGCAACTGAAGGGGTGGGGCTACCCATGCGGTGCTCGACAATCCACCAAAACTCATCAAGTGGCCCTCCACCCGAAATAATTGTCTGCCCCTGATATAACTAGTTATGACTGTTTCGATAGTGCTATTTTACCCCATTTTTGGCATCACGTTTCAGGGGTAAAAGCATATGAAGCCAATACCATAACACACACATCAAGGTAATCCCCCAGAATGGCATATCGAGTTTAGGAACACACTGGGTTATTAGCACACCTACCTTTGTCTCACATTTTGGAATAGTTCCTACAGGAAGATGATAACGCACCACTCTTTTCAATCGAGTATAATGGGGGATATTTGACATAAGTATATAAAAGGTCGGTCACTTGACTTCACAAGATTTAAAATTGTTGACAACAGCAAACACAGAGTAGATGCACAGGCTGTATGTACAAAGAACATAGAACTGGAGTGTAGACACTGCAAATTTCAATGTGATATCCATTAAGATAGATACCATGAACTACTGGAGCTTTGGAATGGAAAGTACTTTATTGTAATAAAACAAGATGGTATCATAATATTCACTCTGACCCCCCAACCCCCACAAGTTTTTACATAATGATTATCAGATGAATATTCCAGCGGGAAGTTTTCTTGAATCGCTCAATCAAAAGTGATCCGAAAACTGCGTTCCTGCTCCTTGCGGCGACTTTCACATACCTTTGTCACCTCCTCCACCTTCCTCTGGAGCAGGGCTGTGGGCAAAGACACATAGGTGATCAACCTAGAAATGAACGTCCCAAGATACAGCTCTGGGAAGCACAGGTATGCATCAGAGTGTCCGAGAAAGGGAATAAAGACTGAAGGTTAAGATAGGGTTCAGAAACGGGGGATGGGGGGGCGGGGGGGGAAGGAGAGGGGATTTGCTGTATATTTAAATGAGTGGTGCTCAGTCTTTTGGCCCTGCAGGCTGATGAGTGGTGCAGGGCCAGTCTGCATGCTGGGATTGGTCCCCGCATTGCCCCTGCACACCAGCACAGGGCCCCACACTAGCCTGCGTGCCCAAGCATGATCACATGTGCTAGATATCTGGTCTGCAGGACTCCCCAAGAGGGCAGAATCTGGCAGCAGGGGAGCAATGATACTGCTGCCCTGCTGCCAAATTTTTGGTCCCGTGGGGAGCCCTGCAGGCCGGATGACCAGGGGCTGGACCTGGCCCATGGGGTGCAGGTTGAGCCACCCATTTTAAACCAGTTGTGGGTTTTTTAATTACAGTTTTACTAAACTAACACCAAAGCCCTCTTCAGTATAAGCAGCTATAACAGCTCCATAATTGGATAGATGCAGTTTTATTTTCAAACAAAGACAACTCCACTCCCATCACAAACTATAACCAGCTTTGAATTATGGTCTACCATGCAAGTTATAAACTAAAACACTAACTGCAAATAATTAACAGCTCCATATGCTGTAGGCATTACACTGAATGAGAAAAATCTTGGTGAAAGGCTGAAGTGACTCCCGAAGAATTATTCTTTATCATAAGCTATGCAATGGATCTGTAACAGCATGGAGATATTTTAGATCTATTTAAGTTCTACACCAAATGTCTAGGATATGATAGTAAACTCTTCCCCCAAAATACATTAAGCAGCATGACTAACGTCTGTACTACATGTTTTCTTCCCTTGTTCCTTCCTGTAAAAGAATAAATTGTGGGGGTTGCTTTATTTTTATATATAGAATAAATTGAATACCAGCAGACACGCACATTATGCTTAGAATAGAAAGCAGAAAGGTTCATATTAATTCCTTGATTTTTGAAGGAGTCCGAATTTGTTCCAGGATTAAACAAAACCCCAGGAAAGCTCTCCTTGGTACAAGTGAGCTTTCCTCTTGCAGATCACATGATTAGAAGTAGTACATGTATTAGAAGTACATGTAGTCACCATATTTTCAAGCATTGATAATTAGGTCAATTAAAAATATAATTATCCATATTCTGCAGAGGAGTGTGCTCCACCACCAGCTATACCTACCCACATCTGAACCTACCTCCCCATTCTCCTCCCCAGCGCCCCCCCGCCCCAGTTTATTACTCAATATTCCAATTACAGAACAGAGCTCTTGACAGTGACCAGTCAGCTCTAATAGTTTTACTAATATAAATTAATAAACATCTAATAAAATTATCTGTGATACTTGCAAGAGAAGATAAGACAAAGGTTTTCTAGACTAGATCCAGGTTCTCAGTAAACATCTGCCTTATCTTCAGGCACCAAGGTATACCTACTTTTCAGGAAATCTATTTAGAAAACAGCTGAAGATGCATTTACAGATCCAGCATCCAAGGAGCTTGCTGTGTGCATGTTCCAGGTTAATAACGCTCTATCCACTCTGGACTAAAGTGACATAATTCCTAACCAGAAACTCCCTCAGACAAGTTGACAGAAGTACAAATACGATCAGTGTCTAGATGAGCTTATTTGCTTTTATGAAGTAGCCCTGAAGGCATTTTATGGAAATGAGATTTATGATATTGGGCACAGACTAAGCTGCTTTAAATATTTGAAGTCAAGAAAAACATGCTTGAAGTGCTGCTTCTCCTGGCTCTACTAGTCAATTACTATTGAATGGGACAAGCCATTCTAGCTATGACAGAAAGGGGCTTGTTCTTTTGAAAGGTAACATGCAAGCGTAATTCAGAACAAACACTCTTGCACTGAACAAACATTCTAGAAAATAGCCCATTTCCCAATATCATTTGGCCCTTTCCCCATGTTCGAAGACTTTGATCTAGCATACTGAAGCCATAGGATTTACCTTTTAAACTTGTATAATCCCTGAAACAAATGCTAAACTGTTCAGTTCTAATTGGTCAATCAACACAGTTATTTTTGAGAAAAACAATTACCTTAAAATGGAAGACTCACACCCCTTTAATAATGATATTCAAAGGAAACAAGCAACTCCTTTACACAAGATTGAAGTTTTTAATCTTTGGGGCTCGGGAGCAGAGTGGGCGCACGTGTGCAGCCAGCACACATGGGCCCCCCTATCCCAAACTCACCAGCAGTTGAGGAAGCAGCGGGGCGGTGACAGCAGCTGATTCAGGTAAGTGCGGGGTGGGGAGAAGGGAGCCAGCACAGCTGTAGAGGATCCAGAGGGGGAGCCCCCCCGGCTCCCTCTTATCGGAGCCGTCAGGGAGCTGTGCTCAAGAGCCATGCACGGGCAGGGGAGCAGGCCAGGGGTGGGGGGCGGCACTTCCCCATGGGAAGAGGGGACTCCTAGGGCTGTTCCCCTGGGGCTTTTGGGCTCCGGACACCCCCAGGAACCTGGTAACTGGGTAACCAGTACCGGCACCCAGGACTCTTCAGCGGGAGGGTGTGGAGCAGCCGACAGGCACGTCTGGGGAAGCCCAGGGTGCCCTGATTGGCTGAGGGAGGGAGCGCGGGAAATTCAAACCGCGGCCCTTTAAAAGCTGTGGTTTGCCCGTGCCCTCGGCAGTCGGGGCTCAAGAGCAGAGTGGGCGCACGTGTGCAGCCAGCACACGTGGGCCCCCCATCCTAAACTCATTGGCAGCGGAGGAGGCGGTGGCGACAGCATCTGATCCAGGTAAGTGCAGGGGGGAGAAGGGAGCTGGCACAGCTGTAGAGGATCCGGAGGGGGAGCCCCCCGGATCCCTCTTATCTGAGCCGGCAGGGAGCCAAGGGCAACCCAGACCGCATCATGAAGGTGGCCCCCAATGACAAGGCCCGGGGGCCAAGCTCAAGGAGATGGGGTCACAGGTGGTATTCTCCTGGTAAGTAGACGCAGATGGCGTCATGAGGCCTGCATCAATGAGGTCCACCAGAGGCTTCAAAGTTGGTGCCACCAGGCAGGCCTTGGGTTCCTGGACAACGACCCGCATTTTCGCACAGGGGGCATGCTCGGGTGGGATGGGCTTCACCTCTCTCCTAAGGCAAGAGGTGTCTTCTCTTCCAGGTTGGCTGATCTCATACGGGAGAACCCAGAACAGTAGGGCTCACTGAAACCTGGTGGGATTCAACCCATGATTGGGCAGTAAACATTAGGAGCTACAGACTATACAGGTGGGACAGAACGGGGAGGAAAGGCCAGGTTGTAGCACTCTATGTCAAAGAGTAAACACATCCTCAACTAACAGGATGGGGACAGAGGAGGGGCAGGCTGAAGTGCTCTGGGTCAGAACACAGGGGGCTCGCGGGGAAAGGGACTTAATGGTGGGGGTCTACTACAGACCACCCAACCAGGGGGAAGAGCTGGACCGAGAATTCTCGGGTCAGCTCATGAAGGCAGTTAAGTCAAGGGATGTGGTCATCATGGGTGACCTAAACGACCCAGACATTTGCTGGGAGTAGTCATCCAGGTCTGACCGCTCACGTAGGTTCCTTGCTGTGATACAAGACCTCCACCTAACCAGGAGGTGCACACTCCTACCAGGGAGTAGGGTCCTGGCCACAGGCAACGACCTGGTGAGGGGACTCCAGGTCCTGGACCACCTGGGGGATACCGATCATCGCCTACTGGAATTCACCATCCAGCGCAGGGTGTCAAGGGCCTGCAGCAAGGCAGTAGCACTTGACTTCAGGAGGGCCGACTTCAACAAGTTGAGGAGATTGGTAGGAGAGGCACTGGGGTCCTGGAGGATAGGGGAGCTAGGTATCCAAGACGAGTGGTTGTTCCATAAGGAGACGATCCTCTGAGCCCAAGGGGCGACAGTCCCAACGCAAGTCAAAGGGGGCAAGAGTGCTCAAAAGCCCCCTTGGCTCACCAGAGGCATTCAGGAACATCTGAAAGCCAAAAAGGAGGCGTACATCCAGTGGAAGGTGGGGCTATCACCAAAGAGGATTATACCTCCATAGCAAGAGTCTGTAGGGAGGCTGTTAGGAAAGCTAAGGCGGAGATGGTACTAGGGCTAGCAACAAGGATCAAGGACAACAAACAGTCCTTTTTTTGAATGCATAGGGAGTAAAAAAGAAGGCACCAGGCAACGTGGGGCCCCTGCAGGATACGCTTGGCAATCTGGTGGTTGCACCAGATGAAAAAGCAGACCTTTTTAATAAATTCTTAGCCTCCATTTTTCTGAGCAGGGACCAGGACTCAGGACAGACTCCGCCAGGCCTAGGGTAAGGGAGGACCGAGTTAGGGAACTTCTGAAGGGGCTGGACGCATTCAAATCAGCAGGTCCAGATGCTCTCCACCCTAGGGTGCTGACGGAATTAGCAGGGGTCATCGCGGGGCCCCTGGCAAGGCTTTACAAGCGCTCATGGTGCTCTGGCCAGATGCCAGAAGACTGGAAGAAGGCCAATGTGGTCCCCATCTTCAAAAAAGGGAGAAGGGAGGACCTAGGCAACTATAGGCCCATTAGTCTTACTTTGGGCCTGGGGAAGCTCTTTGAAAAAATTATCCAGGATCATATCTGGGAGGGACCATAAACTTAGCAACTGTGGCAGTGATACCTACACAGCCGGATGGGTCAAAAATTGGCTGATGGGGCACACCCAGAGAGTGGTGGTGGATGGGTCGTACTCGACCTGGCAGGATGTGAACAGTGGGGTCCCCCAGGACTCGGTCCTGGGGCCTACACTGTTCAACATCTTCATCAGTGACTTGGATGAGGGGGGGGAAAACACGTGCACGTTTGCTGATAACACCAAGATGTGGGGAGAGGTAGGCATGCTCGAAGGGAGAGAGAGGCTGCACTTAGACTTAGACTAAGTCAAATTCATCTGGCCCTCTGGGCTGGTTGAGTGGTGTGGGACCAGTCCATAAGCCAGATAAATGGCATGGGGCCAACCCACGGAGCCCTATTCCTGCGCTGCATGCCAAACCCAGTGCAGGCAGCACAGGCTCTGGCTGCTAACCACACACAGTGCCTGTCCCAGCCAGTCCAGGACATGTGCTACAGACAACACCTGCTCCAGTTGGTCTGGGATTCAAGGACCCACACTGCACATGGCACGCATTCTGAGCCCTGCACATGGGGCTGGTTCAACATGCTGCATGCGGGTCCGTTCCAAATCCAGGGACAGCACTGGGGGCTGGATAATAGAGCTCTGTGGCCCAGATTCAGACTGCACTCTGTATGTTTGACACCCCTGCTATAAACAGTATCACAGAGTAGGGATGTTAGGTATACAGCCTGTGGGCCAGATCCAACCTGTGGAGCCATTCAGTTTGACCTGCTGGGCTACCCAAAGTCTGGGACATGTTCTATTGCAGAATCTGTGGTCCCCAGACCC